AAAGAACACAAGTCCCGCCAAAACACAGTTCAAATTTCAGTTACCAAAATATACTAACTGAGTACTTGCATAAAGTGCAAACTTCACAACATCTCTTCAGTCACAAATCACTGCCTAAGTAACAGAGACGTGCATCAAGCTCAGCGACTCATCACGTTGCATCTTCCAGACTGCTGGGGATTGGTTCCTGCACAGACGAATTCAGTTCAGGCACAGACAGCAAAGCATGTGTTGTGTTACCTCCTTGTCTCCCAGTCATAAACCAACATGACATTTTACAATAGATAATCAAAAGAGGAAACAAGGCAACAAAGGTGAAAGAGTAAAGAAAGGAAGAGTGATAACGCCGGAAATGAAATTTGAACAGAATGCAAATGGCGTTCCAGAAGAGACAGCTGACAGTGGGAATATCAACATTCCTGCCATTCAAGTGACTCCAGACATGCAGCCAGAGGAAATTAGCAAACGTGAACTTAATGGCATAAATGAGGACAGTGAGGAGGTCATGACAAAAAGAATGAGGATGTCCCAGAAGAAGTGACTCTGGCAAAGACTTCACGTGAAAGGAACTCTCACAGAGAGTGCATGAGACTCAAAGTGCAAAGGATAAAACGTTGGAAGCTGATCTGAACTTAGAAAGGGGTACGACAAGCCGCCAAGGCATAGAAAAGATGCTTGCTCTGATCTGAAGTTATACCACAAGAAAAAGGCAAGCATGGTTCAAAGTACTCTTCATAAAACACTTTAATTCTTAATGTTTTTAATATTTAAATGTACCATGTACTAAATATTCATTTTACTATTTTTTTTTCATTTCCTAATACAGTTACTACTGACAGTAAGAGAGTGTTTAATGTTTTAACAAAAATTTTAAAGGTCACGGAGCAACAGTAATTTTCACATTTATTATTAGATTGCTGAATAGAGTTTCAGCTTCCACGGTCATGTTTGCGGTCTCGCAGTTCTGTGTGAAGCGAGGACTCCTTGTATACAATAAAAGACTGAAGGAAGGACAAGTAAGAATTGACAGACCTATCGCAAAGGACTTCAGTGTGTTAGCCAGTTTCTGAGATGGAACTGAACTTGAATCCTACAAGGACTAAAGATCTTGGTGGACAGCACTTGAAATCATTTATCAAACATGTAAATGATGGAAAGTACCAGATATACTGTCAAGAGAGGAAGAAGAACCCTGAAAATCAGCCAGAAACTTAACTGTCAGTGAAGTGGCAACTGAGTTCCTACAGTTTCCAGAACAAAAATCAAAAAATCAAAAAATTGCCTGAAATGCAATACTATTAGAGATTTGTTACTTTGGTTAAGGCTCAGTGTTTGATTCTAGTAATTTCTGAGCAGTTTGATAAGCATAAGATTCTGCTTAAAAGTTCGTGAGTTAAAGCTAAACGCCAAGGTGTTTAGGAACATTGCCCTGTTGGAGACCTTTGTCTTCAAAAGACGGCCTAGAGCTCACCGGGTCCTGGCTTGGCTCTGGGGGTGAGAAGTCTTCTCAGTCTTCCTCCTCAGGAGGACCAACGGCGTCCTGAGACACAGGGAAGATACAATTCTGGGACAAAGAAGCTCTTTCTCCTCAGAGTGAAGGCGTAATCTGCTATCTTTACTGAATGTTTCGGCTATGGAAAGTCCTGATTTTACCTCAGATGACCAAAAGACTGACATGCAGAGCTAGAAAAACCAAGAGAAAAACACCCTGTGGTCAAGTACAGACCATAAACGGTAATCAGAAAACATTAAGGAGAACTAGAAACTGAAAGTCACGGGCCTGAGTTACTATTACTACTTTAGGGCCCGGAAGACATCTCACTGTAAAGAACACAACCAAGCAGCAAATGGGACACAAAGGGGCTCTCCTGGCTGGTGGAATCCCCAGGCCATAAGCAGGAGGCCTCTCACCAAGGGTGCCATAAGAAAAGTAGATTTAGACCCATGTCCATCCCAAAGATGTGACAGAAGGCGCAGAATATGAGACTTCCATGTCTCAACGAAATGTCAGTGCTACAAAGCCAGGGGCAGCACGCACTTCATCTCCACCTCTCGAGCATAGACCCCAGCGCACAGCAATCAGTAGGCACTGTCAACAGACACTTGCTCAATAAATAAACAAAGCAGGTCCACATTCTGCTCTGCTAATAACAGTTTCATCTACTCAGGGTGTGTACCCCGATATAGGTTCACCCTTCACGGAAAAAAATTCTTAAAGCAAATTCAAGACAGGCAGGCAGCGTGGTGTAGCTGTCAGTAGCACTGGGTACAATCCCAGTCCTACCAGGAAACAGCTGGGTGATCATGGGAAAACTCTCTGTGCCTCCATTCCTGATCCATACAATGGGCATGATAACAGTAGCACCTGCCCCACTGACTTCCGGGGAGAAGTCAAGGTGATCGCAGATGCAGAGTCTCTGCGCAGTGTCTGTCATACACAGAAGAGCCCTACAAATGTGTAGATACCATTGTCATAAACACCTTTAAATATGAATCCAGACTGGGGGCATCAAATAGACAGGCACCTCCTCCCCACAGGCCCCCACACCCCACACTTACTCATCCTAAGATGAGCCTAAATAAAAGATTGCCACCCAAATATTTTTTTAGGTTCATAACCACACTCCTTAAAATGTGACCAGAAGATTAAATATAAAAAAGAACATTCAACCTCACTAACACAAAAATGAAAATTAAAACAAGCTGTTTTTTCACCCATCAAATTAGCAAGGATTTTAGAATTCTAACGCGCTCAGGATTGCAACGGGAAAGGCAGGTACTCTCCTCTGCGGGGGAGGAATGGATACAATGTTCCGGAAAACATTTTGGCTGTTTGAATCAAGAGCCTTAAAATACCTCTGCCATTTCCAGTCTTACTTAGCTTTAGCAGAGTTACTCTGATAGTATCAAAAAAACTTGGAAACATCCCTAATAAGCATCAAGATGAGAGGTAAGTAAATTATAGTGTGTCTGTGACAGTACAGCACAGGTAGCTGTAGAAAGATTTCTGGGGGGAAATCGGGATGTACAAGCATATAAGCTATATGAGTCCATTTACGGTTTTTCTTTTTTTAAGAAAGATAACAAAGATACATAGAAAAAGAAAGAAAGGGAAGCAGGAATTTCACTAGAATATACCAATAGTTTATTCTTAGGTTGTGGGACTCTAGATGGTTTTTGTTTTTTCTCTATAAGTTCCTATATTATATAAGATATTCTAAAGTGATATGTAGGGGCTGGCCCAGTGGCGCAGCGGTTAAGTTCGCACGTTCCGCTTCTTGGCAGCCCAGGGTTCGCCAGTTCGGATCCCGGGTGCGGACATGGCCCCGCTTGGCACACCACGCTGTGGTAGGCGTCCCACATATAAAGCAGAAGAAGATGGGCACAAATGTTAGCTCAGGGCCAGTCTTCTTCAGCAAAAAAGAGGAGGATTGGCAGCAGTTAGCTCAGGGCTGATCTTCCTCAAAAAAAAAAAAATAATAATAAAATAAAATAAAGTGATATGTATTATTTGAAAAAAAACTGTAAAGTTTACTTTGCAAAAACATGGCTGATGGTGAACAGACTCACTCCTGGTTCAGTTTACTAAAAATAATGTCAATGTCACGGATGATGATGCCATGATCAGCAAACTGCAATCAATCCAACTGGAAACAACTCACACTACTGTGAAATAATTTCATGTTCTTAAAAAAATGCTACGTCCTACCTAAATCATTTGAGGCGGGCCTGAAAGCCTGGGTCTGCCAATAGGGTTAAAAGCTTCCCCTAACATCAGGGAAGACTGACCAGGTCTTGATGCTAGACTAGTCTTCCGGTGATGTGAAAAGCTTACAAGAATTCCAGACACTGTTTTGAAAGTGAGAATTGTGAAACGCCTTGACAGTTGTCACTGTTAGCCCTGTCTTGCCTTTTACACAAAAGTTGAGAACAGCTTTGAAATCACAAAGCATTTCCAAAGTGCCAAACAATGAGAAGAACCCTCAAAATATATAACCAGTCATCTCCCTTCCATTTTTATACATCGCTTTAGGTACACAGGACTTAAACTTCTGAGTAAAATTCATGAAATATACAATAGGCTAATCCACTACAACATTCTACTAGCTTTCACTTTTTTAAAGGTTGCAAAATGAAATAAATAAAACGAAATCAGCAGTATTTACTCCTTGCCTTGTGTAAACATTTACTGGCCTTCAATGGCTGACTATTTCAGTGTGCTACAGAAAGACAAGGAGTAAATCTTACATTCTAAAAGCTTAAAAGTTTAGACTGTCACCTCAGAACTTCACTAACTTAGTAAATTTCCTCTACCAAACTGGTATGGAAGTACGGTTGAGCATAAACATTAACCAGAACGCATGTGAACTTTTTACCTAGCAGCCATCATTCTATGTTGTTGATACTAAATCTGATACGGCATTAAGATTTGTCCCAGGAAGTTTGGTCACACGATTATCACAGCGAAACACGACCAAAAAACACAACTCTCCTGTACCCACTGCCTAGAGCAGCACAGTCGTACAGTGAGGATGGCAAAACATGGTTCCAACCAGCCTTTTCCAAGAACAAACACCTGTATACAGAGAAGTTCACACCAGGAAACTAAAGAGAGGAAAGTCTTAATACTCAAAAGTACAACCTCCGATCTTAACACTCATGTAGGCTGTGATCATCTCTTTACCAAAGAGAATGACGTGTGCAAATGCTCTGGAAACATCAAAATCAGCACGAGTTTAAGGTACTGTTATTATCAGGATTCCCACTATTCAATCTTAAGTTAAAAAAAAAAAAAAAACCTCTTTGGAATTAAAAGTGAACCACAGCAAATTATGGGGGACAATATACACTTCAAGCAGAGTATGTATATTCTTATTTATCACATTATCACACTTACTGATAATACAACTTAGTTAAATAAAAAATTTCACCAATAGTGCCACCCAGAAATAACAATTTCATCAGTAAAACATAAACGAAAAATAGAAATAAATACTTACTCACGATACCAAACTGTCCCCAGGACAGAAGTATAGCCAAAATTGGGAAAATAACAATGAGGATATTTTCCTTTGGAGAAAACCACGAAACTGGGAAGAAAGAAAACAAAAATCACAATTACTATTTACCACAATCACTTTAAGTCCTGCCAGTGAATGGTCAACAACATATCTTATTGTGTAGATGGAAAATGAAGATAATCAATTAAAGTTGTGGCCTTAAATACATAACAAGTTACACATATAATTTACTACATAACAAACTTCACTTATAACACAAGAAACGAGTTATTTGCGTGTTTCTCACCCCCTTGTCCCTAACCTAGGATTTACAGGCGGTGACACAGCACAGGAGCCGAACCAGGCTCTGCAGCCACGCCGCCTGGGTTCAAACTCAACTCTAATCTACTATCTTTATGACCCTGGACAAAGTCTTAACACCTCTCTGCTCTTCGGAGTCCACACGGTTACACTGTGCAACACAGTACCCACACTGTGAAGGCGTGCTGTGACCGTTAACAAAGTCAATCCATGTAAAGGGCTGCTTAAAACAAGGCTTGGCACTTAGCGAGCACCCGTAACCGTTAACCACCATGAGCGAAACGCGCGCCTCCGTGAATACCCGTATGTGTAACGCGCCAAGAATTTACCTTAAGGAAACAGTGAATTCTTCCTGTAAAGACTGACTCAGAGGAGGAAAGTAAGGAAGGTGTACAACTGGGTACCCTCCTCGCCTTACTGTGACTAAGACCAAGACCAGTGCGAGCCCTATCTTTTCCCAAACTTACTCTGGAACAGAAGACATACTCATGAATAATCAGGCTTCAAACGACTGTTTACATGCAAAGTAAGAGAGGGGCTTTCGGTATTAAAGAAGCTCTATTAAGTGGGCCACGTTACCTAGACAGCGAAAATAAAGCCACACATTCTATATAAAGAAACTGCAAGGGGCCGGCCCTGTGGCCGAGTGGTTAAGTTTGCGAGCTCCGCTTCAGCGGCCCACGGTTTCACTGGTTCAGATCCTGGGCGTGGACATGGCACCACTCATCAGGCCATGCTGAGGTGGCATCCCACATGCCACAGCCAGAGGCACACACAACTAAAATATACAACTAGGGGCCAGCCCAGTGGCGCAGCAGTTAAGTTCGAATGTTCCACTTAGGCGGCCCGGGCTCGCCGGTTCAGATCCCAGGTGCGAACATGGCACTGCTTGGTAAGCCATGCTGTGGTAGGCATCCCACGTAGAAAGTAGAGGAAGATGGGCACAGATGTTAGCTCAGGGCCGGTCTCCCTCAGCAAAAAGAGGAGGAGTGGCAGCAGATGTTAGCTCAGGGCTAATCTTCTCAAAAGAATAAAATAAAATATACAACTATGTGCTGGGGGGATTTGGGGAGAAAAAGCAGGAAAAAAAAGAAACTGTGATATTAAGACATCAAGTGAGATTTGTTGAGAACTTTAAAAAAATTAAGTTTAATTGCATCTTATCAACTCTAAAGACCATAATTTTATCTATGAAATTCCTTCTCTAACAATAAAGCGAAGTAAATGCGAGCATTTCAAATGGTGCCTGAACATGGGGGACTTTCCATGGGAAGAACACTTCTGCATACTGCCTGTAGCAAGCACTGGTGTTCCTCTGCGATCAACCCTTTCAAACCCTCCAGGGCTCTGCCTCTCCTATGAGCGCTTGAGGAACCTTGTGGGCTTTCACACCATAATGCTAGCCATGCCTTTCTTGTGTTAAGCTTATAACATTAAACTCAGGTAAAAATGTTCATGCTAATCCTCAGAATATAACAACATTATAAATTCTATCTTAGAGACAGTAACTTTCCAGAACCTAGCATTTTGCCCTATACATAGTAGACCCAGTAGGTTTGCTCTTGATGGTTCCAACAGCCATGAGAGAGTTTAGTGAGTGAATGAAGATGGGTTTTTTTGTTTTTGATGCTCCCATGTTTGTAGATCTTTACCAAGACAGAGATGTCTTCAGATACTCTGAATCTATACTTTAATTTCCAACTCAATTACCGAGCATCTTCCTGTACCAAAGAAAACCCATTTCAATTCAGTCTAAAATCCTACCAGGAAAAACCTTTGTGAATTAGACTTAAGTTTTCATATCTAATGTCCAAAGGATTTGGTAAAAGCTCTGTGATCTAATGACTATTCTCAATCAACTTATATTTTTCTCTACCCACTCTCTCTACTATTTTGTTTTGAGTAGTGTACATTAACTCCTCAAACCCTCACAATTATTATATGAGGAATTATTAACCCTTCCTTACACTGTGGAAACTGAGGCACAGTGAATTAAGGATCTTAAGTATCTTAAATTTTCATGTCCCAAACTGATACCCCTTCCCCAATTCCCCCACCTCTCCTCTTGACTTTCTCCATTTCCGTAGTGGTGACTCCATTTCTCCAGTTGCTCAGGCCAAAAACCTTTGAGTCATCCTTGACTGCTTGGTTTCTCTCACACCCCACATCTGGTCTGACAGAAAATCCTGTGGGCTCTACTTCAAAACACAGTCAGTATCTGATCTCATATTCAAGATGAGCTGACAATGAAATGTTTCACTGGCCTCTCTCCCTACACAATAGAACAATCTTCAACAATCTTAGGACATATTAACGGAAATCTACTAGCGAAAATAAGAAGTGCATGTGACCCTGGTCTGACCACTCATTTTTTGCTTATTACTCAAACATTTATTGAAAGCTCACCATGGGTAGTGTACTTTTCTAGGTATTTGACATCCAGCTGTAAACAAGGCACGTGGGGCCATGAGCTTGAGGAGGGGGAGGACTGAAGAACAGACTCTTGTGGGTACTAAAGAAAGGCCTCCGGGGAGAGGAGCTAGATCTGAGCCTTGGATGGGAAGAAGCCTGTCATGTGAAGACAGGGAAGAAGAGATGCCAAAGGAACAGCAAGCTCAAGCTACCAAATGATAGCCACTGTGGCTAGAATTTAGTGAGACAAGATGAGATGGGAAGAGTGTGCTGGGGCAAGATCACGTTGGGTCTTAAGAGCTTGTTAAGAGAGTTTGGATTTTATTGTAAGAGCAACAAGTGATTGGAAAGCCTCAAACAGGGAAGACAAATGATCTGACTCACTGAAAATCTTCTTTGGCAGCTATGTGGAGCATGGATTATAGAGAAGCAGGACCTATCAGAAAGTCACTGCAGGAACTGGGTGGTAGTGGGCCGTGGAAGTGGCCCACAAATGCAGTCCTGAGTTCAGTTTTACTCATCATATTTAGAGACATAACACAGAACCGTTCCAAAGGAAGGTGATTAGAATGGGGATCCTGAAACCATGAGCAACAGCTGAAAGAACTGGGGATTTTTACCTTAGAGAAGAATAAACTTGGGGAGAGAAATACAATAGCCTTCCCAGTGAGTGAGAAATTTTGGGGATGCAAGTTTTAGCTTGACTGATGGAAGAACTGGCACTGCCTGACAATAGACCAAGATTCTTAAGGAAGTAAGAGTCTCATCAGGTCAAGTGTTTTAGGTAAAAAGTTGGAATGACCAACTACCCGGGGTGTGATAGAAATAATTCATGAATTAGTTGGTGAGACAGACTAGATGACTACCAGATGACTCCAAGCTTCTATGCATAAATAATAAGTTTAAGAGATAGTTCAATGACAGAAAGAGGGTGGGATTATAGAACAAAAAATTTTATGTCTAAGTGATTCTGAACTGGAGATTATCAGAATCACCTGGCGGTTTACTCTAACTGCACACGCTCTCCCCTCTCAGCTCCCACCCCAAGATTTGAATATGTTCTCCATGGTAAGTGTCTGGGTGGGTGGGGGTGGGAGGTCCATGATTCTCTCAGTTTAAAATCACTGCCGCAGATCCCTGCTGTAATTTACCTCCTTCCACCGACACGAATATGTTACTTCTAACTTGTTACGGTGGGAAGAGTTTGAGGATCAATGAATTGGACATTCAAGAACAATGAGACGCTGGGGAAAAAACAATGCTTTACACAAAACCACTATATGCCTGTGAAGCTATTGATTTGCTATGGTAGTACTGTCAGATGATCTCAACTCTTGTTCCCCAAGGGGAGAGGGGGACAAGATACTTCTCTAAGGTATCTGTCAACTCTCAATTTCTACGGCACTAAGAAAATAAGCCTAAAATGGAGTAAGAACATCATCAAATATTTTTCCACCTCAGGATTAAGAAAGATAACCCAAGGGCATCCATAATCTTATTCCACTCAAGCTATGGCTGACAACTCTGCCAACATTACTCTCCCCCAATTCCTGGTCAGGTAGAGTGGTTCCTAGGAAGATGAACTTCTCATTGGTGGAAAGGCAAAGAAATGATATTAAGAGGGTGTGGTCTACGGATGAGTGTGTAAATTTTGCTCCCAAGTCTAAGTATTACAAAAGACAGGGACTTAATTTCTTTTATCACTGTGTGCAAAATGGGATAAGCCAAAAAAGTGAAGAGGTCACTCCAATTAATTGTGTGCCCCTCCTTCAAACACATACATGGTAAACCTTCACAAACACAGAGAACACCAGTTTCTAACAAAAGAAGATCACAATAAAATTTACAACACTAAAATTCAAGCCAAATTTTTATATGATGTTTCAGGATAGTGACGGCTTTTTTGATGTATTGACTTGGGTAGGCTACAGCCCTCAGTTATTTAATCAAACTCAGAATTCAAAGGTTCCCCCCAGCAAATCCCTGACCCCTGCAGTCAGCCTTTTATAATCCCCTCTCCTTGAAGGAGGGGTGGGACTGTGAATATGACAGATTTCATTCCTATGATTATGTTGAGTAATATGGCAAAAGGGATTATGCTGATGTAATCAAGGTCGCCAAGCAGTTGACTTTAACAAAGGGTGACTGTCCTTGGGAGAGAGGGAGCTGACCTAATCAAGTGAATCCTTAGGAGAATCCAGGTTCTTCCTAACAAAAGAAATTCAACATGTGAGAGGGATTCAACAAGAGGAAGAGTCTTCTTTGCTGGCTTTAACTATGGAAGAGACTGTGCGGCAAGGAATGGGGGCAACCTCTAGGAGCTGAGAGAAGCCCTAGCAGACATCCAGCAGAGAAACAGGGACCTCAGTCCTACCATCACCAGGAATTGCATTCTGCCACAATCATGTGAGCTGGGAACAGGACCCTGAACTCCACATGAGAACACAGCCTGGCCGACGCCTTGATTTTAGCCTTCTAAGACTTTGAGTGGAGAATCCAGTCACACTGACCAGAACTGAGACCTACAAAACTGAGAGTGAATAAATGGGTGTTGGTTGGTTGTTTGTTTTTTTTCTGCTTTTATCTCCCCAAACCTCCCTGTACACAGTTGTATATCTTAGTTGCACGTCCTTCTAGCTGTGGGATGTGGGACGCCGCCTCAACGTGGCCTGACGAGCAGTACCATGTCCACGCCCAGGATCCGAACCCTGGGCCACCGCAGCGGAGCGTGCGAACTTAACCACTCGGCCATGGAACCGGCCCCTGGGTGTTGTTTTAAGCAGCTACATTTGTGGTTATTTGTTACACAGCACTGGAAAACTGATATAGGAATCTTGCAATCCTTCACGTCAACATTATGAACGTAATGTATATCATGCTGATAATGACAGAAAATAGCAATTCTGCTGAACTTGAACTGACCTTTTTAAACAAAATCCTAATAGGGAAATGTAAAATGGTAAGCTTCTAAGTTTTTGCATCATTAATAATATAAAGATAGATATTAATAACAAATTTTATAACTATTATTTACATTTGGTATTTGGTTGTTTACAAGGTGTTTTCATAGAAACCGTATAGTATGATGGCAAAAATACTGGGTTTTGAAGACAGACGGATCTAGGTTAAAATCCTGGCTATGATTCTGACCTTGAACAAGTACCCTAAATCTCACTTGCTCCTCATCTGTTAAATGGTAAGACCTGTGTCTATCTCCTAGCGTTCTCGAAAAGATCACAGGATACACGAACTTAATGTATCCGACATGTGCTCAAATAGACGTTAGGTTATTTTACTCTTCTTATTTGTACTGCCATCACTTCCTTGAAAGCAGGGTTCATGTCTCAGTCATCACTGAATCCACAATGCCCGGCATACAGTAGGCACTCAATAAATCTTTGTTTAAGTAAGAGCGATATTAACTTATTTACATCTCAAACAATCCTGTGATGGAGATGGCATCCCCAGTTTACAGAGAAAAAACTGAGGCCCAGATAGGTTGATTTTCTTACCCAAGGTTTCTTAAACTAGAAAATGGCGAAGCCCAGAGAAAGCTTTCTACATTCAAGTCCTGTGCTCCTTCCATGTACTGTGCTATCCACAGGCACCACGCTATCTCATAGACAATATTTCCACATATTCAGTCTGAGTGCTCCAAAAAAGGGCACAAAGAATGGCCACCATTACTCCCCTTTCTACTGAGTGCAATTTCTCTATTAAGCAATTTCTATTCCTCATTTATGTCTGCATTTGCAAAAAAGCACAACATAGTAGAAATGGTTTCTATTACCTAAATCCCCAAAGTCTACATGATGGGTAAGTATCATTATCACAATAAATTTGCATTCCACAAGAAGAGTCCTGCCCCAATTAACCTTTTTGTGCAAAGGAGGTTTTCCTTTTTTTGTTCAGTCAAAAAATGGATGCAAAATAGTGACAACACCAGATGCTGGCAAGGACATGAGGAAGCTAGATCACCCGTATGTGCCGATGGGAGTGTAAAATGGAACCACCACTCTGGAAAACAGTTTGGCAGTTTCCTTAAAAACTAAGCATATACTTACATACAACCCAGTAATGGACCTTCTGGGCATTTATTCAGAGAAATGAAGACTATGTCCACATAAAAACCTGTATGTGGTTGTTCACGGCAGCTTCACTTGTAATAGCCAAAAACTGGAAACAACCAAAATGTCCAACAACAGGTGAACGCTTAAACAAGCTGTGAGATATCGATGCATGGACTACTACTCAGCCAAAAGAACAAAGGAGAGAACGAACTATTGATGCACACAACAACTTGGATGGAGGATTCCATTTATATATCAGGGTTGAAATGACAAAATTACAGATATGGAGGACGAATTAGTGCTTGCCAGGTTAGGGATAGTAGGGCTATGACCATAAAGGGGTTACAGAGGGGGAAGATATTTGTATTAATGGAATAGTTCTATATCCTGATTGCAGTGGTAGTTACAGAAATATACACGTGATAAAATGACAGAAATATACTCACACTGTACCACTGTAAACCTGCTGGCTTTGACATTTTACTATACTTCATAAGATGTAACCACGGGGGAAACTGGATGAAGAGTACATTGTACCTCTCTGTTCTATCTTTGCAACTTCCTGTGATCTATAATTATTCCAAAAAAATACGTGTGAAGCCTAATGTCTAGGACCTCTGGTAGAATCTTCTACGTTCTTTACAACAAAACAATTCCTTCTCATTTTAATGGCCCCAAAAGTAAGCACAGCTCATATTTTATAGGGTACCTTGAAAACAAAGAATGGTAAAACTACCGCCCATAAAATTAGAAACTCTGCCTTCATCTCTGGTACTGGTGTTCCTTTCCCAATCACCTTCATTCCGTCTTCTGGCTTCTCAAGTCTTGTATCTTGAGCTTACCAGTTTACCCTTCGGTGATCTCTACTACACTCCAAAATGACTGCTCCCCCAGGTCTTGTTTTTCTCTTCCCAGGAAACTGTACATTTTATCAGGAAAATTTCAACTGGATATTAGATCATCCAGTCCCAGTCAGTCACAGGGCATATGACTGAATGATCAGACCAGCGCTGAAAGGTATACATTAAAAAAAGCTCCTTAAGCCCAAATTAACATCAAATTAATAATAGTTACAACGGAAGAGAGATTTCTGAGCAGAAAAGCCTTCCAAACTCTGCTAGCCTTGTCTAAGCCATCTCCTGCCCCCTCCTCAGTGCGCTAAAATCCCTCTCACGACACTGCGGGCCAGCTTCAAGAACCAGATGTCTCATTTCATAAAGCAAACATCCCAGGAACACAACTAATGTTTGCAAAGCACTTTGGTTTACAAAGAACTTGTACATGAGGGATCTCATTTGATGCTCATTAGACTATAGCAAACATAAAAGCAGGGATCTATTTTCATGCCATTTTAGAGATGAGGCAACTTGGACTCAGTAAAGTAACTTCTCAAGATCATATAAGTAAATAGTTAAGTTGCAGAATAGGGAAAGAACGCAGATCTCCTGAGTCCTAATCCTGAGCAATGTCAAGATACTCCATCAAACTAAACACCCCATTCCCAATCTGGTAACAGACATCTTAAAGCAGTAAACACTAGAAGAGTAGAAGGCAAATAGTTGATCCAACTGAACTGTTCTAGTCTCATCTGAAGCAGAGATTCTCAAGGTATGGTCTAATCTTGAGATCAGTAATATGTCTAGTGATTCTAAACAGGGCTTTCAAAATAGAGAGTCAGAATGCACTTGTATGTGGTTGAAGACATCGACTGGCACAGCAAGGAAGAGAAAAGAAAACACACTGTCGACTTGAGCTAACTTTACTACTTTACACAACTCATCAACCCAAGTTTGTGAGGAAAGTGCAGAATCACGGTGCTATAGCCAAGGTGAATTCAAACAAATTAAATCAGATCCTTGGCTCTCCCACATTTTGGCCAAAGAAAAGAACAGTAAAGCAAGACTAAGCACAGGAAACCTCAAGGAATCATCCAGGATAAGTGATTTTTAACCTCCTGATTCTCCTTCTAATCCATTCTTTCCAGAGGGAGCATAGTTGGGATTTGTCAATCCTTGATCAAAGTGTAAGGTTAAAAAAAAAAAAGACAATAATTGGAAAGAAGCCAGAAAATTAATCACGTGAAAGAAAGTACTTTTGATGGCAGCAAAGAGAAGGGCAGAGTAGATGACACCAGGACCGCTCACCCCAGTAAAACAGTCCTCAGACCAAAAGTCTGAGAACTACACAGTATGCAAATGAGCAAACAGCAAAGGAGTTTCACTGTGAAAAGTAGAAGAGCAAGTAAGATAAAACTCATGATCTTAAAGCTGCTAAACATTACATCAACCTTTATTATTAATAGCCTGCTTTTTGATTCAAAGGAGTTCCTAGTCCCATTTTACCCCCTTTCTAATAGGATCAGGTTGCTGCAGGAAAAAGAAAAGAAAAGCTGTTATAGAAGTCTTACCGACACGATATTTTAGTTCTATGATGGTTTCGCCTTCTCTGCTTAATTCTGTTACTTCACAGGTGTAGTTTCCTACACAGGCATCACTCTTATCCATCTTCAGAGATGCAACGCCCTTTAGTAACTCTGAGGGTGTGATTTCTGTGCTCTTAAAGCCTTCGCTGGAAGGGGACATTTGATTTTGATTTTGTCCATCATAGATGAAAATGTCTTTTCCTTTAAATTTCCACTTTACAAACATATCACTAATGTTTGTCGCCTTCACATTAGTAACGAAGCATGGGATGATGACAGTTTTATTGCAAACGGTGTATTCTACAGACTTGATAACGTTAAATATTAGCTGAGCTGAACCTGGAAAAGAAAAATAAAGAAAATTCATTTTGTTGTAGAATTTTGTAAGATCATAGGTATGTTACAAACCCTTAAGATAAAGAATAATGCTTCAGTTGTTCACTCAAGAAAGCACTGCAGCTGTAGAGAAGATGGGCAAGATAAAAAAAAGGAAACAAATTATTTTAATATCACTATGCATAGCTGGTAGGCAACACTATAAATTTTCCTTATTACTTCTGAGTAATACAAAGTATACATTACCATGTGTCTTGGAAATAAATTCAGCAACCATGTTGGAACATGCAGGTGTAGTGTCTGACTTTGGAAGCTTTGAAGTAATCTTTACTGCCTACCGATATATGTAGAAAAATACTGCCCTTACCATGCGAAAATTTTGAGCAGAAAATCTAACCAAATATTATATTCAGTCTCAACTTCTATACACTTCCTCCAAATACAACTTGCAAAACTGATATGAAGTTTATCTCTATCCTTATGTTGCACTTCTCAAAAAAGTGGCAGACTCTACTGTACTTTAATATAAAAAGTAAATTGGATAAATCATATCACATTTTTCCACTAGTCTTAGAATGCTAAGGAGAAAAAATTCTCTGTGGCTATTTCCTCATTGCAAAATACAGACAGCAACAGACATTTGTATGCAAGTATTATAAAGGATTATACACAATTGAAAGGCATTTTCCCACCCCTATATTTCATTGAAACCACAAATAAAAATTTCCAAATGTATATTACAGGTACTCCTCCTTCTAGAAATCATAAGCCGCTCAAAATAAAGCTAAAAAGCTAGTTGAAACCAAGAGCAGATACTGCTAATGAGTGGGGTATATTCTGTCAACTCTTCTCAATAGAATAAACTACCAGTCGTTACCTTATAAGAGAGAGAAAGGGAAAGCAAAGGCAACGATTCCTCTTTCATCTGAAACATGCAAGAATGTGGAGAAACTGTAGTTGTCTTCCATATTCTTTTCTCTAAGTAGTTGGCTTTTCTCTCAAAAAGCCAATCATTAACAAATATAAATAAAATATCAACTTTAATAGTTCATCCTTAAGCTTTTTTCTTTCCATATAAACTGGGAATAAAAAGCAGGGGCATAGGATGTTATTATTCTAGGAACACTAGTATTCTTCCATAAATGCCCACTGAATTGAATGCTAGGATGCAGAGTGGAATATGAACTCAACAACGTTCAGAAAGTCTGAGTACAAATCCCATCTCTGTCACTTTTCAGTATGTGACCTTAAGCGAGTCACTTAACTTTTCTAAGCCTTGGTTTCCTTGCTGTAAGGAAGAGGTCAAAAACAAACAGTGGGCTACCTCACAGAATTGTGGTGAGCACCAAAGGAGAAAGTACATTGGCAAGGTCCCCTGTGCTATAAATATGGAGGATGATACTACAAAAACTAGGTAGTGTGGCATTTTCATGTAATGATCGGGACCTTCTCGGACTGGCAGGTCTATTGCTATATTTCCGGTAATTTTCAGTCTGAACCCACCTTGTGGGCATCCACAGCTTATGTCTTCCCAGTTCTCTACATTTCTAGCCACTCAAATATTAGAAAGCTCCAGGCATACCTGGATTTCCAACTGCATTCTTCAAAACTTGCACATCGTGAACTATTTCCCCCGAGAAAGAAGCACTGAGAAGAAGACTATAGTGTACAACAAGGAGAGAAGAAAGTGGCTGTGATGTTAGAATTAGAAAGGAAGGAAAGTGTCAGAAACTATGGTGAGTGATGATGAAATGGACAAAAAGATCACCAGGTGTCGTTTCAGTGGCATGCTGGGCATTGTCTGACAGATCCTTTGGGAATATCTGATTCTACAGGGCCTTGTGCCTTTCGCTGTGTTTGACTGGGCTCTTTCACAATTTTGTAAGTTGTAGAAAACTGATGATAATGCAAATGATTCGTGTCCATAGAGATACAAATAAGCTTTGTTCTGCAATTGATTTCCACCTAGTGGAAGAGAGGATTTCAAAAAATTACATTTTACTGCCCCAGGATATTGACCAATTTTGCATCTATTAGCAAATCCATTTCAGCATTCCTGGTTGCCTATAAAGGTGTCTGTTCTTCCAATTTTCTTTTAAAACCAAGACGGTTTCACCATCTTCCTGGTTTGCTCATTAATTAATGTATGAAATAAAATCTTTGACACATGTTCATTTTATATTTGTTTGAGTCAAAATTGTATCTTCTAAAAATTATCCTTTAACAAAAGAAATATAAGTGAAGAGTTCAGTTATTTTCGCGAACTTTTCTAGAAGGCTCTAGGTAAGTAAGAAATGGTTGGCAAACACTACAATTTCATAACTTACGTTTAGAGAAGGAATTTTTTCTAAAGAATACAGAAAGCACTAATTGTACTGCAATAATTGTTGTAATAAAAAAATTTATAGCTGAAACAATTTAAGTAGAATAAATGCTGTCAATAAAATCCAAAGTAAAATTGACCTGGATAAACCATAACTTGAATAACCCTTGCACTAATAATTAATAAATAAGGGTAGTCCAAAAATGTCACTCCACCAGCTATTAACTACAACTTCATCCTCTATAAACATTTATTAAAGAACGATTTAGTAAAATTATCTGATTTGCATTTTCTCTCTTTTGCCTACTGCCTTCTGATGAAACAGCAAAGTGAAGGAAAGATTTAAAATATAGAGAGTAAATAAAGGAACACAGATAATTAACATGAATGAGGAAAGTATGAATAATCAAGATATGCCTATAGGAGTCTAAATCAGATAGAAACAGATAAATATAACCATCAGTGATTCCAGAGTTACAGATAAATTAACAAACAAAATGAGAAAATTATTTTATAACAAATACCAAAAATATTGGACCTTACAACCTCTGTGAATACGGACTACCAACCCAAACCACCTCATATCACAGTCCTGAAAACAGCTACTATGTTGCAAAGAAGGCTCAATGCATTATAGTCACAGAATACAAGTCCAGCTCAGAAATTTAAAAATGCAACAAGCATTTATTGAGAACTATCTAACTGAACCAGTGTGATAGGATGTGGGGATACAACGATGAAAAAAATGCAGGAATTATCTTTCAGAAGCTTTCAATTCTGTCTTGGGGGAACGTTATGTACTTTGTATAACCCAAGGTCATAAGCGCCATCCTTCCTGTGTGAGCAAAGTGCTACGGATGGGCAGGAGAGCAATCCATCTCACAGACTTCTAAGAAAGTCTGTGTTGCTACTACAGGGACAAAAGAAGATCGTCACAGTCCTCACCCATCTGGGCCTTGGATCTTTCATCTTTCTTACATGTTCCACGTAAAATTTCTCTCCTTTGTAACAATTCTTAAATCACTCTCCTTTTGCAAGACCAAACCCTGTATTCTCCAAAGGAGCCCTCTGTCCGTTTATTAATGCAAAGTGACTCCTTCAGATGAGAAGCCAGAAGCTTCCAATAGTCCCACCTATACATTTACCTGCAACCCCAACTCTCTACACCTCTTTTCCCCCCACAGCCTCCTCTTCAGAAACGAACCCCTTCACCTAAGAACTCGTTTCCATTTCTGCCTCCACAACCGTCCATGTCCTCAAGGCCTTTCTCTAGTCGATTACCAGCCTCCTACAGCCCTCTATCCCATTTACACGTTTTTAATTTTCTTTTACATTTTAAAAAAATGCTTGAATACTAGCCAACTTCTTAATCCCTCATACTCACCTCTCTCTTCCCTAGCATCCTAAAATAATAATCTAAATGCATTTCTTCACCTCCTATTCACCTCTTAAATCTCTGCCACCCGGCCTCCACCTCCCCACCTCTCCTTTTTTCACTACAACAGCTCTTGCCAAAGTCACCAGCAATCCCTTGTGAAAACTCATACGTGCACGGTTTGCTTTCTGTGTTGACTTCTCTACAGTCCTCGAGCCAGTGGGCAGCTCCTTTCTTGCTCTTGTCCCTTGGCCTCTGTGATATCTCTTGATTCTGAACTTCATCCTACTGCTTTGTCCACCCCATCTCAGCTCTCTTTCCTTTATTGAAATCTATTCCTTGACTCACAATAAAGATTAGTGTTCCTACGGCCTTCCTATCCAGCACTGCCCTTCCACCCAGGCTTCTCCCTACTCTGTGGTTTTAACTACCTACACACATTTTATTTAACCAGGCCCCACCTTTCTCCTTAACTGCAGACCTTGGAAAGCCACCTGTCTGCTGTGTATTTGCACTTGGATGTACCACTGTTACTTCAAAGTCAACAGATCCAAAATCTTATTTACCTACTCCCTACCCTCCTCCCAAAATCTCAGCTACCTAAAGTGTTCTCTATTATTTAACAGTCAACCAGAACTGGACCTAGGAATCATGCTGGATTCCCCCTTCTCCTTAGCCACGGAGAATTCTTGGTAGGCTTAACCTATTTAATAGTTCCTAAATCCAATGTCTGTTGTATGAATGAACTAGACATTCATCAATTCTCCCTTGAACTATAGCCATACCCTCCTAACCAGCTCCCTGCCTCCAACCTCAACGTTTCCCTGTCTCAGCCCCAGTGTATTTTCCACAGTTCCCAAAATAGCTGCTCTAAATGCAAATGTGCACTCTTTTGCCTAATATACTGTAACAACACCCTCTCCCCCTTTTAGGCTAAATTCTAAGTGCATCAGCATGGAACACAAACTAGGTCCTTCAAGATCCTGTCCAGCTCCGCCTCCTGTACTCCTTCATTTCCAAACTAAGCTCCAATCATATGACCTTGCTGCAATCCATGAATATGCACGTGCACTCTCATCTCCATGCCTTTGCATATGCTGCTCCCCTAGCCTAAAGAGACTCATACCCTTCACTGGGTGCAGAGGTAACAGCACACATTTTGGAGTCAGACTTTGGCTCGAGACAGCACTTCCTAGAGATACAACCTTAGACAAGTTACTCAACCTCTGAACATCAGTTTCCTCATCTATAAAATGTGAGTAGTGATAGTATAGACCTCATAGAGATTTTGTTAAGATTTAATAA